GCTGTAAGGCTTAAATCCTCATTAAGGAAGTCTTCTTGTGGATCAGTTCCCTTCCTCTTCTGTCAGGGGGTTTTACACTCCTTCACCTATTAGGGATGGTGTTGTGTTTGGGGAACATCTTCCTGTTCTGGTCTACCCTCCCCTCATAGATTCTCAGTCTTTTAGACCTTCTCGGTATCTTGGAGCCTGGATTTAAGGCGGGATATCCCGACGGTCCCTATGGACCAAGAGGTCTCCAATGTAAGCCATTTTACCCCTAATTTTATTAAAATGGTATCCCAAATAAAATACGTGTTTCTTTAGAAAATTTAAACATTAGGTAGGCAAATTAGGTATAGTCAAGTTAATTGACACATCTGACCTCCAGGGCACACAACATTGAGAGATCTGCAACTAACATTTTGTGGGGAAACAAAATTAATGCTGTAAGCACATTGCTCTAGTGAAGAAAGTGCGGATGTAGAAATGATTTATAATTAGCAACGGTAAAATCACGAATTGAATAAGGTGAATAGAAAAATATAATTAAAATCAAATGGAAGTCCTCTCCACTTATTTTTAACAATATTTGAGACTTAAAGCCTAAAGTTAGGCACTTTTTGTTATGGATAAAAGTGGAGAAGAGTGAAAAGTTCTGGTAAACTTTTATTTCTGTCTGAGATCCTATTTCGACATTGTTCACATTTTGATGGATATACATAAAATTGCTGAGCTATTGGTCTTGTGAAATTGCATGTACATTTGTTATGCTCAAATGGGGGCAAAAGTGAATGTGTTTTAGGTTTTCCTCGAGGTCAAATGTGATTATTCATACAGATTAGAACAAATCCAGAAAATACTATATTATTGCCACTCAATAGAGCTGAAGAGCCGAAGTATTTCCTAATATCAGCTCCATCTAGCCATAATGCCATATTTTCCTGGTTCACTCTGTTTTGTATAAATAATATTTGACCTGGAAGAGAATAGCCGAATAACAATTGATTTTTGCCCTCATTTGGACAGCACAAATAATTTTTTTTTTTTTCTCTAAATACACCTTTTTGTTTCCATTTAACACCTGTACAAGATTGACTGACTGCATTTTGAAAGGATCATCATTTTTTTTCCAGTATGTTGCTGCATTTTTGAGGAAATGTGCATGTACGTTTGAGCTGTAAAATAAAGTCCTGAAGCACAACCACCTTGAAATAATAGATCAAATAAATAAAGTGGGTAAATTAAGTATTGAACAAATCACCATTTTTCTAGGTAAATATATTTCTAAAGGTACTATTGACATGACATTTTCACCGCCTGTTGGTAACAACCCATGCAATCCATACATACAAACCAAAACAAATAAGTTCAGAAATTAAGTGATGTGTAAAAAAATAACACAGAGAAATCGTATTGAACACAGCAAGAAAGGGAGGTGCAAAAAGGCATGGAAAGCCAAGACACCAGCTGAAATCTAGAAAGCAATCCTGACCCTTGTCAGTGCAAATTAATATCAGCTGGTTCAGTTTCAACTGATGGGTGTCTCATTACTAAGGTGTCACACAAGAAACACATGACAAATTTTTGGTAAAAAACAAAGCTCTCTCAGAACCTTCACAACTTTATTGTTGCAAAATATGCTGATGGAATTGTTTACAGAAGGATTTCTAAACTTCTGAATGTTTCAGTGAGCACTGATGGGACCATAATCTAGAAGTGGAAAGAACATCATTTCACCATAAACTGGCCAGGACCAGGTACTCCTCGCAAGAGTTCTGACAGAGGAGTGAAAAGAGTTGTCCAAGAGTCAAGGACCACTTGTGGATAGCTTCAGAAAGACTCGGAATTAGCAGGTACAGTTGTTTCAAAGAAAAAAAGTATGCAATCAGCTGCCATGGCCTGTATGCATGTTCACCACGTAAGACTCCATTGCTGAAGAAAAAGCATGTTGAAGCTTGTTTAAAGTTTAAATGCATTTAGACAAGTCTGTGAAATACGAGAATATAGTCTGGTCAGATGAGACTAAAATTGAACTCTCTGGATGCCATAATACACCATGTTTTGAGGTCAAACGGCACTGCACATCACCCCAAAAAACACCATACCAACAGTGAAGTTTGGAGGTGGGAGCATCATTGTGTGGGGCTGTATTTCATTTCAGCATACGGTACTGGCAAATGTCATGTCACTGAAGGGAGGATGAATGGGAAATTGTACTAAGACATTCTTAATAAAAAATATCATCCATCTACCAGGGTGATGAAGATGAAACGAAAGTGGGCATTTCAGCAAGACAGTGATCACAAAGCCAAGGAAACTCTCAATTGGTTTTAAAGAAAATAAAGCTGCTAGAATGGCCCAGCCAATCACCTGACTTGAATCCAACAGAAAATCTATGGAAAGAACTAAAGATCAGAGTTCATAGAAGTGGCCCATGGAACCTTCAAGATTAGAAGAATCTGTGGAAGAAAGGGCCAAAATCACACCTAAGCAATGCATGCGACTAGTTTCTCCATACAGGAGGCGTCTTGAAGCGGCCATTACCAACAAAGAACTTTGTATGAATGATAAATTTCAGTTCGCGTGTTCAATATTTTTTCCCTATGTCATTTCGTTTTTATTACACATAATTTATTTCTGAATGTATTTGTTTTGGTGTCTTTGTATGTACAGATTGCATAGGTTGTTACCGACGTGAGCATTTCATGTCAATAGCACCTTTAGAAATATTTTCCTGAGAAAAATGGTGACATGTTCACTACTTGTTTTTCCCACTGTATGTGATTCTGTCCCTCAGGTTCAATGATCATTAGGCATGAAGCCATCCACATGCTGCTCCCCCCCCCCCCCCCAAAAAAAAAAAAAAAAATGCCAGATCCTATAGTAAACCATGCAGAGAGTGAAATGTCAGTGTTTTTTTGCCACATAAACTACAGTGAAAGACAGAGCAGGTACACTCAAAAAATGTTCTAAGTATTCCTCAAATAATTCATATATCCACAGCTGCTGGATCCTTCGGCCATGGCCAGCAGTGCGGGTTAGAGCTGAAATTGGTCCAGACTGCCAGGATTGACATGCTCAGTTTGAAGAGAGCTCATGTGCAGTGTCCAGAACTGGGGACGTGTCTATAACTGACAGCGATCTCAGGGGTTAGTACCAGAGCAATGTATCCAAGTGGAGCCTGTGGGTGGCAGCATGTTTGGGGTGTATCCCTTTGCCAAGGGTTTGATTAACATCTCTGCTGTTGGTACTTTTTAGTTGTGTGTCCAAGTGGCACCTGTGGATGGCAACGTGTTTTGGATGGATCCCCTTTGTCAAGGTGTTTGACAATAGGAATTCACCCAAAACACATTGCCACCGGTAGGTGTCACTCGGGAACGCTGCCTTGGTACTTACAGCAGAGATCTACACCTCTGAGACCTTTATTGTATAGAATTTGTGTGAAATTAATTTGTGTATATAAGGTCTGGTATTGTAGTAGAACCCTACAAAGGTTCATAGCATGCTCTCAGCATTTGCCTAAAATCTTATCTATAAAATTGTAAAGAAAAATTTTTTTTTTATGCTTTTTATTTTATTTTTTTTTTTTTCTTCAGGGTTCCGAACAGAAGTTGCATTTCTCACCAAAATATCATCCTGCCTAGCTGTTATTGCTTCGGCTTGACCGTTTCTTTGAAAGGAAAACAATGACTACTGCACTATAAAAAAGTTTTTTTTTTTTGTGCTGCTTATCCAGTGTTGTATAGTTAAAGCATCCACTTCGCAGTAGCTAAGGTACAGAGGTTGAAAGGTATACAGGTAAGTTGTTATGTTATCAGCATCAAGCTAGTAAGTTTATGTTGGATTATATGCTTACATCTTCACATAATACCTATATACTGTGGGTGAACTGTAGTGGATTACATAACCTTTCCACTGTCCAGGTTGCAGTCTGCCCTGTACATCAGGTCATTTTTGCTTTCTATGCCTTTTGCCCCAGTCTCAGTATCTGCATGGGGGTTAAAATAGTTTAGGAAAAACTTTGAATATGCGAGTCTCCTTTTACGTGAAAACAACATGAGTGTTAAGAGCTACGTTAGACTTCCTAGAAAGCTACTTCTGTAAACTTGAATGTAATTTTGTATCCTTTGTTAAAGTGTCAGATATAGAACCATACTTTGTGAGGGTTAGAGCTGATTTACCATGAGACAAAAAAAATTAATTTCAATAGAAACGTAAAAAAAACAAATATGCAATAAACCATATTTTGATGTTTAAAGCAAAACATTTACAGCGCACATATAGGTAAACTTGTAAGACCTAAAGTATATGTATAGCCTTTTTTTAGTTGGTGTGGATGTGTTAGACCCTCTGTCATGTTTATATTGTTGTCTGTGTCCCGTCTGAGGAGATTCATCACTCTTTGTCCCAGTGAACATTGTCACAATAACAAAGTGATGGGAAATCCAAAATTGTATACATATCGCCAAGTACAGTGGATCGCTGTTAGCTTCTGGGTCCCATGCTTAACAGCTGCCTTCCTGGTTAGTGAACACAAGTGTCATTTACACAACACTACACTCTTCAATAAATGCAGAATGTTTTCTTATTGTACAAGGTGGAGATTATGACATCACTACCCGGGGCTCTTTACCTTGTCCAACGTAAATATGTATGGAACATGCATATTTACGTTGAGCTGTTGTAACTATGCAAACATTTTCATACCTGGAGGGAGCCTTTAACCACAAGCCTACAGGGCACTTATACCCCCTTCCTGCCCAGGCCAATTTCCAGCTTTCAGCGCTGACGCATTTTGAATGACAATTGCGCGGTCATGCAACACTGTACCCATATCAAATTTTTATAATTTTTTTCTGTGACATCTTTATTTTGGTGGTATTTAATCAACTCTGGGTTTTTTTTATTTTTTCATAAACCACTGAACATTTTGAAGAAAAAAAAAGTTTTTTCTTAGTTTTTGTTATAACATTTTGTAAATAAGTGATTTTTCTCCTTCACTGATGTGCGCTAATGCGGCTGCACTGATGGGCACTGGTAGGTGGCACTGATGGGCATTGACAGGCATCACTGATGGGCACTGAAAGGCAGCACTGATACATGGCACTGATAGGCGGCACTGACAGGTGGCACTGATGTGCACTGATAGGCGGCACTGATGTGCACTGATTGGTGACACTGAAAGGCAGCTCAGATGGGCACTGATATGTGGCATTGATGTGCACTGGTAGGCACTGATGGACACTGACAGATGGCACTGCTGGGGCTACAGTGATCATCAGGGCACACTAATCATCAGTGCCCTGATGATCAGTATACATGTCCCCTCCGCGGAAAGCCGATTACCGGCTCTCCTCTCCTCTCAAGCTGTCAGCGTGACCGCTCGAGAGGAGAGAAATGCCGATAAACCGGCATTTCCCTCTTTACATGTGATCAGCTGTGATTGGACACAGCTGATCACATGACCGAGCCGTCATCTTCGGCTCTTTCTGTGATCAGTGATCCGCTGTGTCAGAGGGACACAACGCACCGCCGATCGGCGCACTGCGCGCTCCCTGAGCCGTGCATGCATGGTTAGAATGGGAGGACGTCATATGACATCCTTCCAGAACGAGAGAACCACCTTGCGTCCGTCATATTACTATGTGGCAGGCGGGAGGTGGTTAAGAGGATCTAAATGCCAGGAGGTGGGTCACGGCAGTCACAAGATCAGAAAGCTCCTAATTGCAAGAATGCATCGGGAGCTTTCCAGTTACTATGCTGGGAGTGCGCAGGGAGCGTGACACCAACAGGAAGAGGCTAATGCAAGGGATGCTAGAGTGGGAATATAAGGGACACAAACTACTAAACATTAGTGGGTTTTTTTTTTATTATGGGCAAAGAAGATCACCAACTTTTAGAGGCCATAGGGGCACTGTGATTTCTGAGGGTGACCCTGTATAAGTTTGTGTATATATACTCTACGTTTTACTTTCTCATCACATTGTGATTTCCTTATCTCTGCCTACTATCGCCATCTCTGAGATAGAGAAGCAGATAATTTACAAATTGTCAGGTAGGTGCTTTCATCACACCTTATTAAACTGATCGTTTGTATAGTAATCACTGTCCACTTCTCACTGTGCTGCACTGAGAGATGAAGAACTGCATCTCCACTCCTCATCACAGTTTATTAAACTGCTTCACAGTGGAGATAAGCTGTGATGGGCACAATTACAGATTATCTTTAATAAATGTACACCTTAAGCCGGACATAGATGGATTGAAATTTGGGCACTTCAGAAAATTGTAAAATGTGATCAGTGCCATCAGCTATAGCCAGTGGTGTTGATTTCATACATTTTTTTTTATTTATTACAGCTACATATATAGCTCGGTCAATTTACGCAGCGCTTTACATATACATATATATATTACATTCAAATCAGTCCCTAACCCTCCCTCAAGGGACGTACAATCTAAAGTCCCTAACTTACATTCATCCATTTTTTTATTTTTTTTGTTCAACCAGCAGGTTGTACAAAAGAAAATGGATCATGTATAGATTGCCTCAAGGAAAAATTAATAATGAGGACTGTTTTTTCTTTCAGTAACTGTGAGAGAGGAAATTCCTCACTTTGTAGGGATTTCTTGTAGAATCTAAATGACGGGAAGTAATAGAAAAAAATCCTTAACTGGACAGAGACTGCAAAAATAAACTGGTTTATTTTCTCTACTTAAAAATGGGGAATACATCCACAATACATAACACTAAAGGAACATAAAGATTAGTTAAATTGTGATATATTTTTTTAATTTTTTTTCTCAGTCAATAAAAATATTTTAAATCAAATCGTGGTCTGTTGTTTTTTTTTTTGTTTGTTTTTTTTTTAACAAACCCAGGTGTACAGCAACCGATCAACAGTATAAAAAGTAACCTTTTAGTGTACATATATATATATATATATATATATATATATATATATATATATATATATATATAACATTTTACTCAACTAAATATAGTATTGTTTATAGCTGACAACTTTGTGCAATACGAAATAGCTCTCAGAGTCAGATCTTTATTTTTTATTCATCTTCTAAATTCTTCCCTACCTACCCTACCTACGATTAAACCCCCACTCATATTAGTTTCTGAGCTATGTGGCCGCTAAAAATACTTATGCATCTGACCATGCAACAATTCTTTCAGTGTTTGACCACTGAGCATCTGTAACTGGAATGAACATTAATTTGAAAACACATTAACGCAAATCAGATGCCTGACTTCTCACCTTTCACATTATTTGTCCTACCATAAATGTCAAGGCATTCTGTTTTAATTTTCAAACAGAATGTGTGTATAAAAGTTCTGCTCTAATTGTCTAATGCTTTGTTGTAATTAAAAAATAATTCAGTATAAAGGAATGCTTTTAGCTTTCAGACACATTTCAAGTGGAAATCTGTGGCAGTTGCTGACTTCCTGAACATGCTAGTTCTTTGGCCTTAATAATTTGAATGTCAAATGATGCATTCTTTTTATGGGTCACTGACACAAACTCTTGCTCTGCATACTGTTTTTTCAGTCAGTTAATTATGTACAATATATCACAGAAGTGAGTACACCCCTCACATTAATGTAAATATTTTATTAAATCTTTTCATGTGATAAGACTGAAGAAATTACACTTTGCTACAATGTAAAGTAGTGAGTGTACAGCTTGTATAACTAAATTTGCTGTCCCCTCAAAATAACTCAACACGTATAATGTCTAAACTCCTGGCAACAAAAGTAAGTACACCCCTAAGTGAAAATGTCCAAACTGGGCCCAATTACCCATTTTCACTCCCTGGTGTCATGTGGCTCCTTAGTGCTACAAGGTCTCAGGTGTGAATGGGGAGCAGTTGTGTTAAATTTGGTGTTATCGGTCTGTCTCATACTGGTCACTGGAAGTTCAACATGGCACCTCATGGCAAAGAACTTTGAGGATCTGAAAAAAAAAGTATTGTTGCTCTACTTAAAGATGGCCTAGGCTATAAGAAGATTGCCTAGACCCTGAAACTGAGCTGCAGCACAGTGAGCAAGACCATACAGCAGTTTAACAGGTCAGGTTCCACTCAGAGCAAGCTTTGCCATGGTCGACCAAAGAAGTTGAGTGCACGTGCTCAGTGTCATATGCACTTGTCTTTGGGAAATAAACGCATTGCTGCAGAGGTTGAAGGGGTGGGGGGTCAACCTGTCAGTGCTCAGACCATACGCCGCACACTGCATCAAATTAGTCTGCATGGCTATTGTCCCAGAAGGATGCCTCTTCTAAAGATGATGCACAAGAAAGCCTGCAAACAGTTTGCTGAAGACAAGCAGACTAATGACATGGATTACTGGAACCATGTCCTGTGGTCCGATACCAAGATAAACTTATTTGGCTCAGATGGTGTCAAGCGTGTGTGATGGCAACCAGGTGAGGAGTACAAAGACAAGTGTGTCTTGCCTACAGTCAAGCATGGTGGTGGGAGTGTCATGGTCTGGGGCTGTATGAGTGCTGCCGGCACTGAGAAGCTACAGTTCATTGAGGGAACCATGAATGCCAATATGTACTGTGACATAGTGAAGCAGAGCATGATCCCCTCCCTACGGAGAATTGGCCGCATGGCAGTATTCCAACATAAGACCCCAAACACACCTCTAAGATGACCACTGCCTTGCTAAAAAAGCTGAGGGTAAAGGTGATGGACTGGCCAAGCATGTCTCCAGACCTAAACCGTATTGAGCATCTGTGTGCCATCCTCAAACGGAAGGTGGAGGAGCGCAAGGTCTCAACATCCATCAGCTCTGTGATGTCATGGAGGAGTGCAAGAGGAATCTAGTGGCAACCTGTGAAGGTGAACTCCATGCCTAGGAAGGTTAAGGCAGTGCTGGAAAATGGTGGCCACAGAAAATATCGACACTTTGGGCCCAATTTGGACATTTCACTTAGCGGTGTACTTACTTTTGTTGCCAGCGGTTTTAGAAATTAATGGCTGTGTGTTGAGTTATTTTGAGGGGACAGCACATTTACACTTATACAAGCTGTACATTCACTACTTTACATTGTAGCAAAGTGCCATTTCTTCAGTTTTGTCACATGAAAAGAGAATAAAATATTTAAAAAAACGTGAGGGGTGTACTCACTTCTGTGAGATACTGTAAGTGTTTGGATCAGTTTGGCAAACAGGCATTTTCACAAGGAGAGGTCAGCAGTATCGTTTTTTGATTTTCCAAAAGGAAAATGGCATGTTTCATTTTTAAAGCACCAAATGGGTTTTGATTAACCAGAACACCAAAGCACAGCCAATATTGTTTTCACTCAATGATCCTGGCACTGACATGCAGAGTAACAGAAGTGACTTTACAGGAGCACAAAGTAGATATATCTTAAAGTAATACTAAAGTCTGTCCAGCCAATCAGGAGTGAGGGTCCCTGGAGATTCAAGCCTTTTGTTGACATCGCTGGATCGGGATGGGGCTCAGGTAAGTGTCTGGGGGGCTTCTACACACAGGTTTTTTACCTTCATGCATAGAATGACCACTGTAAGGCACTATTTCCTGATAAATATGTGCAAACAAACAAGGATAATGTCTGGGAAAATCTCCATTTTTACATTATGGCTTTAATTTCTCCCATGTTTTCACTACATAAGGTGGCTCCTGTTGCAAACACCCAGGTTGCAGTAGTGGAGATGAACATCCTAAATATATACAGTATCTTCGTCAGATAGCTGAACTCACCAAACACTTGGCATCTACAAATATCTTTATTGTATGTAGACCGTTAAGTCAATAGAACAAGATGTGGTAGACTTGATATTCAAGCTTCTTAAAGGCAGTAAAAATGTGTAGTGGCTTTGCTAGGTCAAATGTGTGTCTTGTAGGGGAAGGAGAAGATTCATACACAAGGAAAAGTAAATTACATCATAAGGTGGAAGAGATACAGAAAATAACATGTAATACAAACAATATTCACAAGGTGTCAGCATGAGCAAAATAAATTAACGATCAGAGACTACTCAAATACAACTGCATTTTCCTTATACTGTGGAGACAGCACACGCATAAACTACTTTGTTGCTAGGCCTGTTTTCAGTGCTTTGATAGTTGGACAATTACATAGTCGTGTAATACTGTACCAAAATTGACTGTATATCCTTTTTTTAGACTGATAAAGCTTTCTCTGTGTTTATTAACCACCTTTTAACTATAAAAGAAAAACAGTTTTGAGAAAAAGTTTCTCTTACATTTTGTTATAAAACACATCATTTATGCCATGCATAACTCTGTCCCCAGCTACATGACCAACCTTGTCTCAAAATACAAACCAAACCATTCTCTTCTCTCCTCCCAAGACCTCCTACTTTATAGCTCATTTGTCGCCTCCTCCCATGCTTGCCTCCAGGACTTCTCCAGATCCTCTTCCATAGCCTAATCTACCTGACTGTGTCCTACTCCATCCACCTTTTAGGAGATACCTGAAAACCCATCTTTTCAGAAAGCATCCCACTTCTGACTAATAAACTGTAGTTTTTACTTTCTCCATCAGCTTGTCCCCCACAGTTATTGCATTTTGGATCACTTCCTTTTTTAGATTGTAAGTTCTAATAAGCAGGGCCATCTGATTCCTCTTGTATCGAATTTCGTTGTAATTGTATTGTCTCCCTCCAATTTAAAAAGTGCTGTGCAAACTGTTGGCAATATACAAATTTTGTATAGTAATAATAAAAATGCCCAGACAAAATAAAAACCCCAAAATGACCCCAATCTCATCTTTTTGTCTCGGTTTTTTGGAAATTGTGAAACATGCTGGTATTGAGATGGTTAAAACATGCTGTTTGGTATAAAGGTCACATACAGTGGAAGAATAAAGATGAGGAGGCTATTGTGCAGATCTTCTGCATAAGGGAAGTGAAGGTTAATGTACAGGTCACATACCGAGATAGGATTAGATTGTAAGCTCTAATGAGCTTCCTCCTCTACCAAATTGTATTGTAACTGTAATGTTTGCCTTCATTTTGTAAAGTGCTGCTCAAATTGTTGGAGCTATTTAAATCCTGTATAATAATAGAGGTCAGTTGAAGAGGTCAAAACCTCACTACCTTGAATTTGGTGCTGCCTGAGATCTGATCCTAATGGATAACTATTCACTCCTTAGTTCCTCCACTGGGATAGCGGAAGAGGGGGGGCTCTCATATGTAAACACTAGTGTGTACATTTGTTATTGTTGTGATTATCCATCACATCAATCACAAGGTTCGGAACCACTCGTGTCAGCTCTGTACATTGTGTCTTGTCATCTGTGCCATCTAAGGAAGGCTCACATCACAGTTTACTAACTGGTGTACAGGCCACCCATATCTGTTATCTGAACTGCCTTTTAAAAGCAGTGATCCAGAAATACACAGTCATCTCCCAACAGATTTTTTACAATATGGTAGTATACAGTAGTTATTACTGAAAATGTTTCTAGTCATACAGTACAGGACATATACTCTTTATTCACTTTGACTTGGTTATATGTTGCGACCTTCAGATTGGTCATTTGCAAAAAAGAAGGCTGCAGGAACATTTCACTATATCACTCAGATGACTCCCAACTAGCCTTAGGCGATGGACCTCTTCTCTCTATGGAGAGAAACTTACATTTTTCTATGGAGATTTTCTCTGGATAATTATATTCCATTAACATTATTCCTGCTGCACTAAATGCACTGTGGCTTTGTGTGCTGCTTTTGAATTGACAATAAAGCGGAGCCTTGGGGCACTATGCACGTCCCAAATGAAAGATTCAGGACCACACTGTAATGTTGCCTTTTATGCGCTGGATCCTGTTGTGAGCAGTTTCCTTGGCCCATGGTGCAACAGCTGGGTTTAGTTAAAGGGTGTTTTACAGGTCCAGGGCCATGGTCTACCTGTGGCAGTCTTACAATCTTACTTTCATCAGTCCACGAAATGTTGCGCCATTTCTCTTTAGGCCAGCCAATGTGCTCTTTGGCAAATTGTAACCTCTTCAGCACGTCTTTTTTTTCAACAGTGGGACTTTGCGAGGGCTTCTTGCAGATAGCTTGGCTTCACATAGGCGTCTTCTAATTGTAACAGTACTCACAGGTAACTTTAGACCTTCTTTGATCTTCCTGGAGCTGATTGTTGGCTGAGTCCTTGCCATTTTGGCTATTCTTCTATCCATTCGAATGGTAGTTTTTCGCTTTCTTCCACGTCTTTCAGGTTTTGGTTGCAATCTATCTCTCAACCCCCCACCTCACCCCCTCAGTCTCCGCCCGAATCACACACCTACTGAGCGACATATCAGACTGGATGTCGCTCCACTTCCTTAAGCTGAACCTCTCCAAAACTGAGTTTCTTGTCTTCCCCCCAGCCCGCACACCACCCCCCATTGACTTCTCCATCATGTTCAACAACGTCACCATCAAACCCGCCCCGCAGGCCAGAGTACTTGGTGTCATTCTGGACTCCAACCTATCCTTCCAGCCCCAAGTCCAATCTTTAACAAACTCATGCAGACTCCACCTCTGCAACATCGCCAAAATACGCACGTTCCTAACCCCAGAAACCACAAAACAGCTCATCCACTCCCTCATCCTATCACGACTCGATTACTGCAACTCCCTCCTTACTGGCCTGCCTCGCCGCTGGCTATCCCCGCTTCAGTCGATCCTGAATACGGCCGCGAGACTCATTCACCTTTCCAACCACTCCGTTTACGCCACCCCTCTCTGCCAATCCCTCCACTGGCTTCCGATTGCGCAACGGATCAAATTCAAAATCCTAACACTGAAGTACAAAGCTGTCCACCATACTGCCCCGAACTACATCACCAACCTAATATCCAAGTACCACCCAACATGCACACTCCGCTCCTCACAAGACCTCCTTCTCTCTAGTTCCCTAGTCTCCTCCTCCCATGCCTGCCTCCAGGACTTCTCCAGGGTGTCACCCATCCCATCTCTGGAACTCCCTCCCAACCCATCAGATTATCACCTACTCTCCTCTCGGCGCACCCTGAAAACTCACCTCTTCAGGGAAGCCTACCCCACCCCCTGCTAACTTGCTGACCTCCTCCACTCTTCCTACCACTCCATCCCCCACAGCTTTCTCCTCCTGTGCCACCATCCCCTCCCTCCTAGATTGTAAGCTCGAAAGAGCAGGGCCCTCGATCCCCTCATGTTTTGCATTGTATTGTATTGTTATTGTTCTGTCCCCCATTATAATGTACAGCGCTGAGCGAACTATTGGCGCTTTATAAATACTGTATAAATAATAATAATTTTAAAGCATTTGCAATCATTTTAGCTGAGCAGCCTATCTTTTTCTGCACTTCTTTATATGTTTTCCCCTCTCCAATCAACTTTTTAATCAAGGTACGCTGTTCTTCTGAACAATGTCTGGAGCTACCCATTTTCCTCAAAATTTCAGAGAGAAATGCACTGTACCCAGCATGTGCAACATTTGCTGCCTTCCTTAAACAGGCAGGCTCTACTGCTGCCTACAGGAGATTAAGAGGAGAGTCTGCCAACAAAAATGTTAAGTCAACCCCTGTATAACCCCACCTCTATCAGTCACATTTTTTTTTATTGGTGTCTTAGAAGGTTGGACACCTTCAGCTCTGCTGAGGAAAAAAAAAAAAAAAATTTATTTATATTGCCAAAAATATTGGGACACCCCCTCCAAATCATTGGCTTCAGGTGTTCTAATCACCTCCATGGCCACAGGTGTAAAATCAAGCACCTAGGCATGCAGACTGCTTCTACAAAAATTTGTGAAAGAATGGGTCGCTCTCAGGAGCTCAGTGAATTCAAGCGTGGTACTGTGATAGGTTGCCACCTCTGCAATAAGTCCATCCGTAAAATTTCCTTGCTACTAAATATTCCATGGTCAGCTGTTAGTGGTTATAATCAAGTGGAAGCAACTGGGAACAACAGGTACTCCGCCACGAAGTGGTAGGCCACGTAAAATGACAGTGCGGACAGCACATGCGGAAGTGCGCAGAAGTCACCAACTGCAGGCAATAGCTAAAGACCTCCAAACTTTGTGTGGCCTTCAGATTAGTGCAACAACAGTGCTTAGAGAGCTTCATGTAATGGGTTTCCATGACCAAACAGCTGCACCTAAGCCTTACATCACCAAGTGCAATGCAAAGCATCGGATGCAGTGGCGTAAAGCACACCGCCACTGGACTCTAGAGCAGTAGAGATGTGTTTCTCTGGAGTGATAAATCATGCTTCTCTGGCAATCTGATGGATGTGTGGGTTGGCGGTTGCCAGAACGGTACTTGCCTCATTGCATTGTGCCAAGTGTACAGATTGGTGGAGGGGGATTATGGTGTGGAGTTGTTTTTTTCAGGGCTTGGGCTTGGCCCCTTAGTTCCAATGAAGGGAACTCTTAAGGCATCAGCATGCCAAGACATTTTGGACAAGTTCATGCTCCCAACTTTGTGGGAACAGTTTGGGGATGGTCCCTTCCTATTCCAGCATGACTGCGCACCAGTGCACAGAGCAAGCTCCATAAAGACACATGAGCGAGTTTGAGGTGGAAGAACTTGACTGGCCTCAACCCGATAGAACACCTTTGGGATGAATTAGGGCAGAGACTGTTAGCCAGGTCTTCCCGTCCGACATCAGTGCCTAACCTCACAAATTCACTGAAAGAATGGTCAAACATTCCCATAGACACACTCCTAAACCTTGTAGACAGCCTTTCCAGAAGAGTTGAAGCTGTTACAGCTGCAAAGGGTGGGCCAACTCAATATTGACCCTATGGACTGAGACTTGGATGCCATTTAAAGTTCATGTGTGTGTAAAGGTAAAGGTACACCCCCTTTTTGAAAAGTAAGATTTTAATCAATATCTCAACACAAGAACAATTTAAAAATTTTGACAAAACTGAGTTTTATAGAACATTTGTTTAGCTCATTACACGAAAGTAAGGTTAATAATATAACTTAGATTACAAAATCTTCAGTTTTACTCAAATTGATGCAAAAATGAATACACCCCACAACAAAAACTATTCCATCTAGTATTTTGTATGACCTCCATGATTTTTAAGGACAGCACCAATTCTTCTAAGTTTGGAATGAACAAGTTGGCGACATACTGCAACATCAATCTTTTTCCTTTCTTCAAGAATGACTTCGTTTTAGAGCCTGGGTGCTAGATGGAGAGTGATGCTCAACTTGTCTCTTCAAAATTCCCCATAGGTGTTTGATTGGGTTCAGATCAGAAGACATACTTGACCACTGAATCACTTTCACCCGCTTCTTCAGAAATGCAACAGCGGCCTTAGATGTGTGTGTTTTGGATCATTGTCATGTTGGAAAAGTGCATGACAACCAAGGACACAAAGTGATGGTAGCATCTTCTCTTTCAAGATAGAGCAGTACATCTGTAAATTCATGATACCATCAATGAAATGCAACTCCCTGACACCAGCAGCACTCATGCAGCCCCACAAAAGGACACTGCCACCACTTTGTTTCACTGTAGGCACTATACATTTTTCTTTGTACTCCCCACCTTTACGACGCCATACAGTTTTAAAGCCATCCGTTCCAAAAACATTTATCTTGATTTCATCACTCCGGAGTACAGAGTCCCAATAGTCTTCTTCATTCGTGGATGACATCCATGCTTGCCATTCCTTGGCAGTGTGTGCCATATTGTGTCACGGGAAATAATCACCCCAGTTTGGCATTCTACTTCTTTAGCTAACTGCAGTGAACTTGCATGGCAATTTTCTTCAACCCTTTTCATCAGATGACGCTCCTGTCGAGGTTTTAATTTCCGTGAATGGCCTGGACATCTCTGTGAGATGGTTGCAGTTCCATCTTTACTAAGTCTTTGTATCACTTTTACTACAGTATTCTGACTGGTATGTAAGCATTGCTGATCTTCTTGTAGCCTTCACCTTTCTTGTGTAAAGAAATTATTTTCTTTCTCAGGCCCTGTGACATTTCTCTTCATGTGGTGCCATTGCTGACAACCTGAAATGGGAGGGGTTTTCTTTAAGTTATGCCCTTTTATAATCAACTGTCTGCTGGACACCTGTTTAATGAAAAATTAGACTCCCCTATATTTGAATTCTTGTTAATTTGTATTTTGTAGTCTAAAATTTTGCTTTGCTCCTAAGACTTTCATTGGGGTGTATTAATTTTTGCAACATGACCTTTAATTAATTTGTTAGGAAAAATCCTTTTTTGTGTGCAAATGAACAAATCTTGTTTGCAATCAATGGCCCGCATTTGTGGGAGTATTTTGTAGTATGAAGTCCCATAGAAAATGTTGATTCTGAAAGGAAAGATTTTCTGCCAAATCTGCTGGCGTGTATTAATGCTGAGCACTGTGTGTATATATATATATATTATATATATATATATATCTTAAAAAAAGACCCATGGGCTGAACCACTCCATGATATTTTATTGGAAAAAGAAAACATACAAAAGTGTTAAACTTGGAAACTGTTTTTTTGGCCCAATGTGACCAGACCTTCCTCAGGGTAAAATACAACTGTCAACATATCACACTAACCTCTCTACTATCCTATAATTGTATCATTTAAACAAATCCATACAGATGACTGAAATACTAGTAATTACAGAAAGGAGATCAAAGCAAATAGTGTATATTCCCAACTGACTGATGACACAAACTGTTTTAGGGTCCTTTCACATTTAATACAGTGAGATGCAGTTGGATGCTTTTTGGACTGCACTGTAACTGCAAAGACAGTCCAAAATCCAGGCTATCCTGTGGGCATAGTTCACACCATTGCAGTGCAGCGCATTGCAGAAAAGTACAGCATGCTGCATTTTTCTGCACCACAAACATGCAAAAACGCATGCCAACGCATCACAGTGCACATAGAAGCCCAAAGAAAGAACGAATAAGGAAGTGACCTTATTGGTCAAATGCAGATAGAAAAGTTTGCGTCAACTGCATGTAAACGTGCATCAAATGCATGCATAGGTACAAGGAACAAACTTGCAGTTATGTGCTGTTTCTGGTGTGAATGGGCCCTTAAGGGCAAAAGGAAAATAGAGAAAGAACACATTCCTTGGAAATCTGTACAGATTTTGCAGATCCTCTCATGCGCAGTCAGGTTGGATGGAAGCTGTCGGTGGACAGCCATTTTCAAGTCTCTCCAGAGATGTTCAATACTGTTCAAGTCAGGGATCTGAAAATACGCCTCACACCTGGCCCCACAAATGACTCTCCCTTAAATGTGCTCACAATGGGAGCTTGCCTCTGACCTATTTCTCAACAGGTGCATAACTATGATACCTAAGAGCTCAGATAAGGCCTCAGCTCCCCAACAATTTTCAACCGATTTCCCTCTTCAATGTTGATCTAAAACTGTACGGCAAAATCCTTCGAGTACAAATTAATCATAACTCCCTAATTCTTAGGGATCAAGTGGGCTTTGTCCCAGGTCGGCATGCTGGAGATAATATACGCAATGTTGTCCAGCTTGTTCTCCTCGTGTGTTACTGTAAAATACCTCTCCTCTTCTTTGATATATACAAAGCATTGTATTCCCTGTCCTGATATTACATGCACTACATTTTACAAAATGTGGGAACTTCACACAATCTCCTGGGTATCTGCCCCTATATTCTTCTCCCTTGACCATGGTTAAATACGCAGGCTTTAATTCCCACTACTTCAATTCCCACTGGTACTTGCCAAGGCCATGGTACCCTTGGCTTAAGACATAAGGGCCAGCTCAAATGTCATTGGAATTTGTTTATGTGGGACAATGTTACAAGATTAATCACTTTGCTGCTGATGCCCTACTGACTCACTAACCCTAACATAACCCAAATCTTCATAGAATCCTTACTCAATTAGCCCAAATCTCAGGCATCACAGTAAACCATAGTAAGTCCATGGCCCTGAAAATCACACTACCTTCCAAAATGGTGTCCTAAATCCAGTCTTGCTTCCCTTACCATTAGTCAATCTTGACTCAGGACTATGGTAACACTGCAATACTGTGGTCAAAGTATGTAAAAAACAAACTAAGAAAAAAAAAATCAAGGTTAAAAAATGTTATTTATTTACATGCTGTCACCAGTCAGTATGCCTGATCACGGCCACACCAGTCATATGATGATGGTGTACTACACTGGTGACAGTATAGAAAAAACATGGGGGGAGAAAAAAAACAATTTATTTTCTTTTCCAAAACATTGTTGGAAAAAAAATACAACTTCATGTACCTCACTATGTCTCTTTTTAAATACCTTATGGTGTCTACTTTCCAAAAGGAGTCATTTTGGGGGTATTTGTACTGTCTTGTCATTTTAGAGCATCAAGAAATCAGATTGGTGATTAGTAAATTAGGATTGATCAATTTTCAGATATATTGTATATCCATAGTTTGTAGACTCCATAACTTTCACACAGACTAAATAATATATACTGTAGCAGAATACATATTGACCTAAATTTATGACGAATAATTTATTTATTTGCAAAATCATATAACAGAAACAAAGAAAATTGTTATTTTTTTAAATGTTGGTATTTTTTCATTTATATACCAAAAATAAAAACCCAGGGCTGATTACAACCAAAAGAAAGCTCTATCTGTCTAAAAAAAATGTATATACAGTTGCAAGAAAAAGTATGTGAACCCTTTGGGATTATGTGGAGTTTTGCATGAATTGGGCATAAAATGTGCTCTGAACGTCATCTAAGTCACAACAATAGAAGAACACAGTCTGCTGAACATAATACTACACAAACATTAAATGTTGCCATGGTTTAATTGCACATAACATGTAAACATTCACAGTGCAGGGAGGAAAAGGTATGTGAGGCCCTAGCTTAATGACTTCTCCCAGAGCTAATTGGAGCCAACCTTGACTCCAATCAGTGTGATGATATTGGATGCGTTGCTGACAGCTGTCCTGCCCTTAACAAACACACACCTGTTTTGGGTTTACTGGTTTCAAGAAGCACTGTCTGATGTGAACCATGCCTCGCAGAAAAGAGCTCTCAGAAGACCTACGATCAAGAATTGTTGACTTGCATGAAGCTGGAAAGCGTTACAAAAGTATCTCCTTGAGCCTTGATGTTCATGTGTCCACGGTAAGACAGACTGTCTACAAAT